CATTAGCAGGAGTATGGACGGGTTCCATGACTCTTCAGTAGCAGGACAGGGGTGGGGCCCAAGATAAGCGAGGCCTTAGAATAGGAATACAGTAGAGTATGGTTGCTTATTGTGCTAGTATGTTTATGTTATTGTATGTGGTTAGCGGGCGAGGCCCAGAGACAGGCGGGGCCTAAGAGAAACAAATCTGTATAACGAGTGGGGATCGATGCCAAACGGGGCTGATGCCTGGCGGGGCCCGATACCGGAGTGAGTCCGATGCCGAGCAAGTCCCGATGCAACGGGCGAGGTCCTAATATGTGGTTATGTGTATGGTATGTGGTAGGTTGGGGAACTCACTAAGCTTCATGCTTACGGTTTTCAGTTTTGGTTTCAGGTACTTCCGGTAGTGGAGGGAAGAGCTCGAGATGACTGCATCGCACACACCATGATGTTTCGCCTAGGATGTTTTACTCTGATTTTTGATATGGAACTCTGATGACAATGTTTTGATGAAATGTTTTGATAACTTATGGTTTTATTAATTAATTAAAATGAAGTTTTTGGTCTTGGTTTTTTGGATGTTACAATAGGTTAATACTTGTTCGACACATTACCCACGAGTTGGATCGCTAGAAGGATCACTCATATAGCTTTCAATCATCTGAGAAATTGCCCAGATGAGTTATCTCACTATACTATGTATTACAATACATGTCCATGTATGTTAGGATAGAGAACTAATGGAGTATAGCCGATAAAATAGTCTCTATGTGCTTAAATGTAAACCGGTAGAGTAGGAAGTATGAATGTGCCTGTATTAGTAGAATCTAAAGTACAGTCTCTATGTGTGAAATTGTTGTGATATTGGACTTAGTTAGGGGATGATGGTGGAACGGTTAAAGAGGCTGAGAGCCTATAGGCCCACATGTTGACGAAATGGCAAGTATGTTGCAAGTACACATAATCCCATGTTGATGAAATGACATGTAGGCCGTAAGTACACGTAGACCCATGTTGAAGACAAAATGGTTGGGCCATAAGTCTAAGATACACATATTATTGGCAGATCTTGAGCCATTACATGTATGTATGTATATGTATTGTGGTATATGATATTTTGGGGAACTCACTAAGCCTAGCGCTTACCTAACTATTATAAATGTTTTTCAAGCACTTCATTGGTTCGTGAGAAGGGCAAAATTTGACTATACTTACACACATTCGCAATCATGTTTCCGCATTATACTATGATGTAATTGAATATTGAATAAATAAAAATGAAAATTTTAGGTTAAAAATCGGAACGTTACATACCACCTATACTAGGATATGATCAATCTCTAGCTCTAGTAATTTAATGGTCATAAACAACTAGGAATACACATTCATTTAATCAATGGCTAGTTAACTACATGAAATTTGAGGGAAAAGCAATAAAGATAGAAACATTAACATGTTAGGATTAATCTATCAAACACAAGTAAAAACCAACATTAATAATCAATAAAGCTAAAATTAATTCATTATCAAATAGGGTTTGTCTACTTCTAAACGAAAGTTAAAGGGTATTAACCCATAATTTTAGAAAAAATTACTAAAAAAGTAATTAAATAGACTAATCATCATGCAAACCAAATGAATTAGTGGAATTCTTGCTCGTTACTCTTATTATCTCTTCTCTTTGTTCGAAATCAGGTCTTCTATGGTTACTTTAAAAGTATTCTCTAAAACAATCTCCTATAATCCCCTTCTAAATCGTCCTTTAAATAGGAATAAAACTTGCCATAAACTAATCGCCATGCCGTGGGAAACATTTTCAACCCGTAACCGACAATGCATATTCCTTCATTCGAGAATCTTCCAAGTGCCACGACGTGGACCAGAGTTTGCCACACCGTGGATATCTGTTGAATGTGTGTCTTTTTCCAGATTCTGCAAGCTTCGTCCCCCATATTTCCAACATTGTCATTTTGGCCCCTTTCTTTTCAATAATGCCTTTATTTGGATGCAAAGTATAATTTATATAATAAGTACCATATATATATATATATATATATATATATATATATATATATATATATATATATATATATATCAAAAGCATATGGCAATATCAACTGTACATTCACATCAAAGTTATATTGTTATTCGACTTCCGCTTGTTTTTTGTAAATTAACCCAATTTAAACCCTATGCTTTTAAAATAAATTGATATTATGATATGTTTTCAAAAACAAGTTTTGAATGTTTAACTTGGTTTTAAATGAAAAAATTGGTTTGAAATTTGGGATGTTACAAGGTGGTTTATGGTCACGATTTAATTTGTTAGATGTGACTAAAAGTAAATAATCTATATGATAAAACATAATACTTGTAACTATAAGTACATTACCGTCACGATTTAAATTATTACGTGTGACTAAAAGTAATTTATGGTTATAATTGAATTTCTTTTGTGTGACCGAAAGTAACTAGTCTTCATGATAAAAGACAAAACATGTGTCATTAAAAGTCAATAATAACAATGATAAACGAAAAATGTATGACTAAGTCAACCATACTCACGACAAACAAAAAAATGTGTGACTAAAAGTCAACAATATTAACGACAAATAAAAAAACATGTCACCGAAAGTTAGTAATATTCATGAAAACAAAATAACCTGTAACGAAAAGTAGTTTATCATGACATTTATCAAAAAACTAATAGAAAAAACTACAAAAATTGCTACGATATATCGACAGCTTTTACCTATAAGATTTTTAATGAATTATAATCACCATAATTAAACGTCACCATAACTTATAAAAAATGACACACCTTTAATAATGTTTTTAATGAAAAAAATTATGTCAAAATGTCTATGGTCATGATTTCTTTGCATCACTAAAATCCATATTTGTACTAGTGTTACTAAAAAGATGTTTGGGCGCAAGCAAGGCAACCCCTAATCCATGTTCTCCGTTTGCTGCCAAAACACATTTACAACCTACCCGAATCAATATGTCCCCAAATAATTGAACCGAAATATTTGTCGAAGTACACTTTGAGTATGAAGATTTTCTTCTTAGCTTTTTTCCCCATAAACATAGTTCATCAATAATTAAAGGTCTCTCGATAATGTTTCTACAAAGCCCAAAAATGGATTGAAACTAGTTAGTCACCTTCCCAATTACCCGTTTTAAGTCTATTTACAAGGAATTTAGCGATGTTTCTATACAAACATCTGATAGGGTTAATTGGAAGGTAGCCGTTTAGAGTAATCGTGTCTTTAATTTTTCGTACAAGTGGGATAAAGGAAAAGTTGCATCCTCTAGCCAGCATACCACTTTCTTCATATTGTCATATAAAACACAAGATATTTTCTTGTAATAACGAACAATATTTCTTAATAAAACTAAAGTTGAATCCGTATAACAGAGGGTCTTTTCGCAACCACAGTTCCAAATCCCAGTTTTTACTCCATCGGTCCCAATAGTATCCTCAAGCAACGAACAACCATCAAATGTTATAGCTTTAAACATGGGGCTACATAATTTAGGTCCATTATTATGAGAATTCGGATTCAAAGTAATTATATACTCAACCATAATAGGATATGTCTTTACTGTTTGTGTGTCGTTTATTGATAGCCTGTGTATTCGATTCCTCATTTTTTTGTTATTATTTTGGAGTATTTATTACCACCAGTTAACCAATTGAATCGTTATTCTTTGCTTCAAATCTAAAACCACCTTTTTCTCGAGCTCATAAGTCATCGTCTATTAGCTCTTCAATACGATAACTGAACCAACAAGAGTTTTCTGGTTTCAGCCATAACATCAAGATCATTTAATTTTTCCGTCACCTTTTCCTACTTCTTGAAACTCATTTGGAATTTCACTTTTGCTCCATTCTTTTAGGGTATGGTTTAGATGACTGAATTTGGTAGTAAGAAGAATATCACCATTGCCTTTGTTCGAGTAACATGTCCATACATTCCTACTGGCAAAGTCAATCCTATCTTTGGGTAACAAGAACTGAAGAACTAGGGGGACCAAAATCCACATGAGAAGTTTTGAGGATGATACGAGGTGGTCAAACAGGCCACAAGGCAAAACAATGGTGGAAGAAGAAGACACATACAATTTTTTTTAGGATACATAAGGAATTGGTCGAGGTTGCTTTGTTTCATACAATTGTTACATAAGTAGGTGAAACGACAACCCCCAAGCTAAGTTCCATTAAACATGTATATGAACTTACTGAAATCTAAAGCAATACGAGGGTTGAAAATAACTTAGTTTTTTTAGCTCTTTTAGTTTTTATCAAAAACTAAATAACAATAAATCCAAGAGAAAAACTATCTTATAAACTAACTCATATAGTCGTCAACTATAACCTTAATTATAAATAACTATGAACCATTTTAAAGAAGTTAAGATTAGGAAGGTGTTTGGGATTTCATTTTAATATTCAAGATGATTTTTAGGCAAAATGACTTATTTAGTTATGGTGATGAGAAAAATAATCTTTTAAAAAGTGTATGAATTAAACTTTGTTGTGGAAAAATGATTATTTACTTATGGTGATGAGAAAAATAATATTTTAAAAAGTATATGAATTAACCTTTGTTGTGGAAAAAGACAATAAGTTAATACATTGTTTTTTAAAAAATGTTTGTTTTAGCTTACACATGTTTTAAGGGGTATTTATTTTTTACAACCAAAAAAATTATTAAGAGTTTTGAAAAGTTAGAAATCCTAACTATTACAAAGAGTTTTGAAAAATTAGAAATCTTAACTTATTGAAATCTCATTTTTAAAGGGTTAATGAAAAGTTATTTTGTTTATAGTGCCAAACAATTTTTTTTTACTTATTGATTTGTAAAAAATAAATAAATTATTCCGTTATAAAAAAAAAACAAATAAATCAATAAATCGTTTTAAATAAAATTCCAAACACCCTGAAAACAATTTATTAGTAGGCAAAGGAAAAGTTTTAGAAAACTATTTTGCTATAAGTCATTTTATATTTTAATCCCAAACACACCTAAGTCACCGATTGCTAGTTTTCTGGTGGAGCAGTGACCATAGGCGAAAACAAGAGGAAAAATCACCAAGAATCTCTTCTGCTCGCCACCGCCGTCCGCCGGTGGGTTCTGTCTCTCTTAAAGTTCATCAGATTTTCCACCCTCTCTTTACTCTCAGACTCTTGCTATTGCGTTCAATCTCAAATCGACGCATGCACTATTTACGGATGTCACCTCAAAGTTCTAATTAACCGATCGTATTTTCGTGTTATATTCCATATTTGTAGTTTGTTCCTGAAATTTACATCTTAATGTGAGTTTTAGGAAACAAAACATATTTGAAAAATTATTGAGACTGCTTATTTGTTGTTCTGGGGCTGCTAGGGTTTAGGGTTTTATCCATTAGTTAAAAGCATTTCTAATAGCATGGTAAATTGAAAGTTTCTTCGTGTAAACATGTGCATTTATGTAGCTGTAATCATTTTCCCATGTTGTTTTTAATTGATACGTCACTAGAGTATACGATTATATTATACCTTTTTGTAAATTCGAGGAGAGCGAGTTTAGACCTTCTCTCATTTACCTAATCTGAAGCTATATGCTAATGGTACTTGTTCGTTTTAGGATCTGCTTTGAGAAGAGATGAGTAAGAAGAAAAACCCTAGTGTGTTCTTGGACTTATCAATAGAAGGAAGTCCTGCAGAAAGAATTGTCATCGAGGTATTTATGTAACTCTATATGTAGTCATGTAACTTTATATCTCTTCATTATGGAGTTAAGATACTAATGGAAAGTAACGACTTGAAATTTGCAGCTTTTCGCTGATATTGTCCCTAGAACAGCTGAGAATTTTCGAGCACTATGCACAGGTACTTGTAAACTCAAGGGCTTAATGAACCTTAGGCATCTGAAATACATACATACACATATGCATTGTTATTACATTGTGAGTTAACTGTGTAGGGGAGAAGGGCACTGGAAGTGTTACTGGAAAACCATTGCACTACAAGGGAATTATATTCCATCGCATTATTAAAGGCTTCATGGCTCAAGTATGTTAATTGGTTATCTCTTCTTATAATAGCAACATAACTTTTGCATATGAAATAACTTTTTTTCAATGTGTGTAGGGAGGCGATTTCTCAAAACAAAATGGTATGCATTTTCTTTAAATCATGTTCTTGACAGAGTGGAGAAGCTCTTTTTAACTTCCATCTGCATGCCCAGAGTTGTAAGGGGTGACGTTTTGATGGTTTGCAGGCACTGGTGGGGAGAGCATCTATGGAGGAAAGTTTGCAGGTATAAATTATAATTCAAAACATGTTTCCTTTCAATTTTTATATGCAAGATTTATGACTTATCATTTAATGCTCTTTCTAATTCTACTATTTGTGTAGATGAGAACTTTAAGCTGGATCATAGTGGAGCTGGAATACTCTCTATGGCAAATGGTGGCCCAAATACAAACGGATCTCAGTTCTTTATACTCTTCAAGCGCCAACCCCATCTTGATGGGTAATTCATTGCCTCGTTATTACAAGTTATCTGATTTTATCATCTTTTTATTAACCCTAGCTTTGTTCACTGGTTATATGGCAGGAAACATGTTGTTTTTGGTAAGGTAACAAAGGGAATGGAGACAATTAAGAAGATTGAGCTGTTGGGAACAAGTGATGGAAAACCTTCTGGCGTGGTAAAAATTGTGGATTGTGGTGAAGTTATTGAAGATAAGAAGAACAATGTGGTGGACCCCGTAAAAGGTATTGCTATTGTTATTTATCAACTATGAATAACATTTATTTGATTATGCGCAAGTTGTGATGCATTGTTACTTTTATTTATAGGTAAAAAGAAAAAAACTGTGAAGAAAGATGTTTCTACTGATGACAGTTCCGATGGGCGAGTAAAAAAACGCCGTGGATCAACTATCAGGGAGAAATTGAGGAAACGGAGAAAGTACTCACCATCTGATTCAGATTCCGAGTCTTATTCTTCGGAGAGTGATTCCGATTCCTATTCGGAGTCGGAATCGGAAGCTGATTCTGATTCTTCAAGTTCATCTGCTGGTGGTAAAAGAAGGAGGAAGAGGTCAACAAAAAAAGAAGTCAAACAGCGTAAGAACAAACGGAAAGAAAAGAGACGGTTGCCTGGCAAAAGATCAAAGAGAAGGTCCAAATAGTTGCCTTTTGATATATATATATATATATATATATATATATATATATATATAAAATGTAAATCTCTTTTCATATAATATTGTATTTCTAACTTGTAAAAGTGGACTTACTTTAGGAGCTCTGGGAGTTCAAGTGAAACAGAAAGTGGAAGTAGCAGTTCTGATGATGGAAAAGCAAATCGACGTGTTGCAAAGGCCAAAAATAGACCTTCAAGTACTTCTGGTATCCTTTTTTTTCCCCTTTTTTTTAAGGGCATATTGCAGGAAATAACAACATGCTTTACTCTTTCTACCAATATAGGCATTGTACTGTATTTTTACCCATAGCAAGAATATTGCAACGTCCTTACATTTATTTACCAATAATAGCAATATGTCACTCATGGTAGCAACAAACTTATATTTTTTTTTACAGATAGTAGTAATATGTAGTAGATAACGTAAAATGCTTATATATATATATATATATATATATATATATATATATATATATATATATATATATATATATATATATATAGAAAATGCAACATTGCCATTTTGGGTAAAAAATAAAGTACGTTGCTATTATGTTAGGTATAACTTATAAGTGTTATTATAAGTAAAAAATAATAATCAAATACATTGCTATTATTGGTAAAGAGATGTATGTAAGTAGGTTGCTGCTATGGGTAAAAAATAAAGTAGAAAGCACATTTCAGTTTTCCCTACTCAACTGTTAGTGAGATAGATGATTACAAATGTTGTTATGTAATATGTAGTGAGGAAAAGTTCACCAGATCTGTCACGAAAGGAACCTGAAGCAAAGGTGGAAATTAAGGATCAATATTCAAAGAAAACCTTGGAAGAGCAAGAGCTTGTTAAAAATGGGATTGTGAAGGAGAAGGAGAAAGAAACTCTATCTAATAAGCCATCTGGCAAGCAAAGTCAAGATTCAGATGACTCGAGCAAATCCAGGTTTGAACTTTGAAGACACACACACTGACATACATTGATATTGTGTTGTGTGTGTGTGTGTATATATATATTTTTTATTGATAATTTTTGTTTGTTTGTTTAGGAGTGGGCGAAGTCCTGTAAGGAGAAGTGGAAGCCCAATCTCAAAGAGGGTTTCAAAAAGTCCTTCACAAAATGAAAAAGGGTCTCGACCTTGTGACAAGAATGAAAGAAGGGGGGGTGATGTATCAAGAAGCAGATCACCAAATGGAAATGGGACTCCAAAAAGAGTAAGAAAAGGGCGCGGTTTCACCAAGGAATATTCCTTTGCACGAAGATACCGCACCCCTAGCCCCGACCGCTCCCCCCGCAGGTCTCATCAGTTTGGCTACCCTCAAGGAAGGTATCATGATAGGTATAAATCAACATTTTAATTATTTACCAAATATGACTTTTTAAAAAAAAAAACCATGTATATAATATAATAATACCCATGATTTGTATCAGATATCCAAATTATAGAAGATATTCTGAGCGGTCCCCACCACGAAGAAACAGAAGTCCTCCGAGAGGCAGGAGCCCTCCCAGGTTCTCTCTCTCTCTCTCTCTTAAAGTATTTCTTTGATATTTTAAAAAGGAATTTACTAATTTGCCCTTTTGTAGGTTTAGGAGAAGGAGTCGTAGCCACAGCCCAGTTGAAAGGCGAGCAGATATAAGCGAAAAATTAAAGTCGCGGCTTGGACCTCGGGTGACATCACCCTCACCCTCACCCTCACACAAAGCCAAAAGGTCGGCTTCTCCATCTCCAGGTAAGCATCAACCTAAGAAAATGGTGGCTGTGGTTTCAAGCAGGTCAAGGTCAAGGTCAAGGTCAAGGTCAGTCCCACCTGGTGCTGGTGGTCAAAGGGGTCTTGTTTCTTATGGTGATATTAGCCCCTAAAACTCATATGCTTTCACTATGTTATGTTGTCTACAACTATCTTTGATTGCTGAATTGGTTTCTGTTTTTGGCCTTTTTGTTTTTTGTTGTGATGGATTTTGCTGGAACCTGAACTTCAAAACTAGGTGAATATGCTAATTTATGGTACAAGTCATTCTGTTACAAAGTGATTCTTGATTTCGGAAATTGTATTTGTTGAAGTTGAACCATTGTATGAATATGTATATGCATGGTAACTTGGTAAGGTCATGTTCTTATCTCATTAAGTGCCTCTGGAATTGAATTTTTTTTTTTATTTGTCATTTGTATAAAATTGAATTTAGATTAGTAATGGTCATGATTTTTCTTTTATTTGTCATTTGTATAAAATTGAACATTTTCTGTAATACATTATGAAAGAGGAGATGATAATACGATTCTTTAAATAAAAAAAGAATTATAGCAAGGGTTAGAGTTGAATTTGGGCATTAAACTATCGTATTTGTGTTCATTTAGTCGGTAGTTTTGTTTAAAGATTTAAAAGATCACCGAATTTGTTTTTTTTAGTCAATTACCAATGATTGTAGGTTTACATGTCTCTTTTTCTTTTACTATACAAGCTCATTGAGTATATAGGGAAAAGATCTAAAAGGTTGAGCACGCGAGAACAATTTTGGACCAATCAATATATAAGGGCATATTAGTAATTATGTTTTTTAATTAAATTATAATAAAATAAGATTTCCCTAAAATTTAGGGATTATGTTTTATTGTTACCTAAAAAGAATTTAATGCTTTTTTATTATAAGCGGAGATATTCCTTTTATTTTTCTTAAATAATCTTGTATTATTGATTCATACGATTTCTATCAAAATGATTAAACCCACATTTTGGTATATAATTGTAGTGGTTTTGATATTTAACTCTATTTTTATCAAGATCGAAAAATAATTTTATGGTATATTCATTGATGAATTAAAACATACATATAATGAATTTTTAAAAATATTATTTAACCGTATTATGTTAATCATGAATGATTATAAGTAAAAATAAATATTAGAAAAAAATAAAACATCATGTATAGATCAATAACACGTTCAGTACATTTGGAATCCTAAATGAATATAACGCAATAAAAAACAATGTAATCGTAAATGAATATAACGTAATAACAATACAAAAAAATACATTTGTAATAAAAAATGAATAAAGCATCATCTATACATCTACATTAAAATGATGATTCATCTTCAGTCATATCTATCAACACCGATTTTGAATGATCTTTTTTGAACTTGTTTAAACAGTATCAATATGTATTTTGTAGACGTTCACTTTTCCTTGTTACTAGTCCTACAAAATGAAAAATCAAATTATATGAATTCAGTCATGTACAAACAATAAAGAAGAATGTTATATTCATTATGTCTTTCATTTATATACTATCAAAGTAAGTCAAAAGTTGCTTACAAATGATGATATTTTTAATATTTATTAATGGTTTCACAAATACATCAATGAATAAGCGAAAATAACAATGACACTTTATTTATTATGGCTTAATCACAAATAAATAAAAAATACAATTAAAATTTACCTAATATTTGTTAATCATAAATGATTAGAACAAAAACACGCTTAAACTTTACTTAATGATTGTAATATTATTTTCTTCCTATTCGACAATGAATGAAAATAAAACCATAATGTTGATCAAAATATGAACACATGTGTACGTTGATATAAAAAATTACTAAGGACTTTTCACAAACACCTAATATGCAACTTCACATTTTTAATTCTAACAGAATTATAAAATACTTTTTTATCAAGGATTAAATAATTTAAATTGAACATAATATATCAAAATAACCCAAAAATCAATTACTTACTGATTGTAAAGGTGGGCCATAAGACAAATTTTGAAAATCTCAACATTTGCAAAACGAACTTCTATGAGAGTATATCTTGGAAACCTTGACCTGTGAATTTAATTTTGACCATATTTTCTCTAGTTGTATACGTCTCCTGAGAAAAGAGTCGTCATAAAAATATGTTGACTACCTTTTTTTTTTATGTTCGACAGTCGCCTTCATCGCAATCATCTCCATTGAAGATCTGACAGAGAAATATCAAAGAGATTGTTCGCCTTCATCACATCTTTGATCGTCGCTTTCGGTCGGCATTGCGTACGCTGATGGTGGTTGTGGCGCAAAATGATGAAGATGATGAACATATTTTAATGGTGCTCAAAGATGGTTGCGGCGTGAGATGATGAGGAGGATGATGCAACTTTATTGATAAAACCCTAGGTATAAAGAGAGAACGAGAGAGATACGGGAAAATAAGAGGAAATAAGTGAGAGAATAAGAAATTATAGGAAATTAGAAAAAGTTGTGATTACTATTATGCCCATTTGACCATTTAAAAGTTACATTTTAATACCAATAATTTTAGAATTTACATAAATGGCTCGTTTGATAATAGCCATGGATTTATATATTTAGATAGTTCAGATCTGTTTTCGCGTTCTCAACCTTTTTAGTGTTCTCGTTTGATCTGCTCCTATATATATATATATATATATATATATATATATATATATATATATATATATATATATATATATATAGACTAAGAATTGGAAGGGGACAAAAAAGTATGACCTTTTATGTGGCTTTTTGAAAGCGTGGAATTTAGGCCAAAAATTTTACACAGTATGTTACTTTTTTTACATGTTTTTTCACAGTATGTTAGTTTTTTACATGTGTTTCCATAATTTTTTTGTTAATCCAATTTTTTTTCTAAAACACACACATATTCATTCCCACCCACACTACCCACCCCTCAGCCAATGCCCAACACTCATTGGTATATAATTGAAATTTATTCCTATTTACACCGAGATTTTGAACAAAAACCACCATCATTGGGCTTTCAAAATGGTACTTCACCGGATTCTAAAATCAGAAAACTTCTCGACCAGTATCATTTGAGGCTTTGAGCCTTGGATTGGACATGTTCACATTTGAACAACAGATTAAACAAACATAACAATTATGAAATTCTACAATCAACTCAAAATTTTGAAAAAGAACTCCGAAATATACAATTTTTACCTGAAGTATATATATTTTTTCCCGAAATTTCTACAACATTTTTTTTGTCAAAGTTGTTTATTCTGAAAATAATACTTTTTGCCAAAAAGTTTATTTGGGAATTTACTTTTTTGTTTGAAATATCTATTTTAATACTTTTTGTTTGAAATATATTTTAATACTTTTTGTCGAAAATATATTTTCGAATGACATAAATCTTATTACAAGCACATAATAGACTTAAATACGATGTTTAGATAATTATTTTAATAAATAAAAAACTTATTGTGATCTTATTACCTCCTTAAAATAGGTAATCATATTCCCCAATATCACGATCTTTTTTTGCGACAAACCCTAGTTAATATATGCGAAAGGGACGAGCACAATAGCAAATTGTGGGTAACGGAGAAAACGCCGAAAGGTAGAGGAGGCGTGACACATTTGGGCTAAAACCTATCTTCTTTGTCCCTTGCGCCGCTCTCGTCTTCCGTCGTTACCGATATGGCGGTTTGCTTCAACCCCTGCGAAAATATGCTCATTTCATCCACTAATACCGCCGCCGCCGCCGCCGCCGCCGCCACCTCCACCTCCGCTTTCATCTCCTCCAAACCAAAGTCTTTCCCTTTCTCCTTATTCTCACTAAAGAAGTCCAAAATCACCCACAATTTATCAGCACCTTCAACCCGCACACAAAACGCTTGTTCCATTGTCTGCAGCTCTACTAAGAGCACCCAACCAACTGAAACTCAAAAACCAAATGTCGGTAAGCGAACTGATATCAAAAAGATTATGATTCTTGGTGCTGGGCCTATTGTTATCGGCCAAGCTTGTGAATTTGATTATTCTGGTACCCAAGCTTGTAAAGCTTTAAGAGAGAATGGTTATGAAGTTGTTCTTATCAATTCAAACCCGGCTACTATCATGACCGACCCGGATATGGCTGACAGGACATACATTGAGCCGATGACACCGGAGTTAGTCGAGCAGGTGATTGCAAAAGAACGACCAGACGCGATTTTGCCCACCATGGGTGGTCAAACCGCGCTTAATCTGGCGGTGGCGTTGGCTGAAAGAGGTGTGCTTGATAAGTACAATGTGGAGTTAATCGGAGCTAAACTTGAAGCTATCAAGAAGGCTGAAGATAGGGAATTGTTTAAGGAAGCCATGAAGAACATCGGCCTCAAAACTCCCCCATCCGGAATTGGTACTACCCTTCAAGAGTGTCTGCAAATCGCCAACACAATTGGTGAGTTCCCTTTGATTATTAGACCGGCTTTTACTTTAGGTGGTTCTGGTGGTGGAATTGCTTACAATAAACAAGAATTCGAGACAATTTGTAAGTCAGGACTTGCAGCCAGTGTCACATCACAAGTTCTAGTTGAGAAATCGTTGTTAGGATGGAAAGAATACGAGCTTGAGGTTATGAGGGATTTGGCAGATAACGTTGTTATTATATGTTCTATTGAAAACATCGATCCAATGGGTGTTCATACTGGGGATTCAATCACAGTTGCCCCTGCACAGACTCTGACAGATAAGGAGTACCAACGCCTGCGTGATTACTCCATCGCTATTATAAGGGAAATTGGAGTTGAATGTGGTGGTTCTAACGTACAATTTGCTGTGAATCCCGAAGATGGTGAGGTTATGGTTATTGAAATGAACCCTAGAGTTTCAAGATCTTCTGCTTTAGCATCAAAAGCTACTGGTTTTCCTATTGCAAAGATGGCTGCTAAGTTATCTGTTGGTTATTCTTTAGATCAGATTCCAAATGATATCACAATGAAGACACCTGCTAGTTTTGAGCCTTCAATCGATTATGTTGTCACAAAGGCGGGTATTATCTTCTTTCCTTTGTTTATATATATAACACATAATCATATTCTAACAGTAAAATTCATTGAATTATACAGATTCCCAGGTTTGCATTTGAGAAATTCCCAGGATCTCAACCGGTGTTGACAACACAGATGAAATCCGTAGGTGAATCAATGGCTGTAGGAAGAACATTTCAAGAATCTTTCCAGAAGGCAGTGAGATCACTTGAAACTGGGTATTCGGGTTGGGGTTGTGCACCAATCAAAGAGCTGGATTGGGATTG